ATTGACACCTATTCTCTGTTTCCTGGTTCTCAACCAATTCTCACTCCATTACAGGACCTGCCCTTTTATCCCCTGACTCTGGAGTTTTCTCAGCAGCCTTTGGTGAGGAATCACATCAAATGCCTTCTGAAAAACCAGATAGACAATATCCACTGATTTGTCCACATTCACATGCCTGTTGACCTTTTCAAAGAATTCTAAAAGGTTTGTGAGGCAAGACTTACCCTTACAGAAACCATGCTGATTTCCCTCAGCAAGACTCGTTCTTCTATGTTTTTTAAGATTTTATCTTGGATGAGGCTTTCCACCATCTTCCCTGGAACAGATGTTAGGCTAACTGGCCTATAGTTTCCTGAGTCCCCTCACCTTCCCTTTTTAAAGATGGGTGTGATGTGTACTATCCTTTAGTCCTCTGGCACTGTGGCCATTTTAAGGGACAAGTTGTACATTTTAGTTAAGAGATCAGCAACTTCATTCCTCAGTTTCTTAATAACTCTTGGGTGGATGCCATCTGGGCCTGATGACTTATTGATCTTCAATGTATCAATTAGGTCTAAAACATCCTCTCTTTTAACCTGCATCTGATTTAATTCATTAGTCAGGAGGGGCTGTTCGGGCAGCGGAATCTGCCCAAGGTGTTCTGTTGTGAAGGCAGATGTGAAGAATTCATTTAATTTCTCTGCACCATCTAGAGGGTCAGCTGCTTCTCTGGCAGGTTTCCTGCTTCTAATGTATTTAAATAAGCTTTTATTATTCCCTTTTATATTGCTGGCCATACATTCCTCAAAGTCCTTCTTTGCCTTCCGTATCATCTTCTTACATTTCTTTTGCCAGAGTTTGTGTTCCTTTTTATTTTCCTCATTTGGATGGATTTCCATTTATGGAAGGACCCTTCCTTGCCATTTAAAGCATCTCTAACTATGCTCATTAACCATGCCAGTACCCTTTTGGACTTAGTTGAGCCTTTTTTTCTTTGTGGTATACACTTCCACTGGGCTTCTACTACCATCGTTTTAAACAGGCTCCATGCACTTGGGAAAGACTGAAAGGGAAGGTAACAAGAATCCAGTCTTTCCAGAGTGCATGGAGCCTGTTTAAAACATTTCTTTCTAACTTGTTTCCTCATCTCAGGGAAGTCTGCCCTTCGGAAATCAAGGGTTTTTGTGGTAGATTTGCTTGACACTCTCCCTCCAACATGCATGATGAAAGAGATTACAACATGGTCACTATTCCTTAGCGGCTCAGTGACATGCATGTCCCTAACCAGGTCCTGAGTACTACACAATATTAAATCCAGAGTCACCTCATGGTGGGTTCCATGACAAGTTGCTGCAAGGCATAGTCATAAGGCCAATAATTTTCTCAACCTCTTTTCTAACTTTTCTTTATAAATTCTGTCCCCTTAGAGATGAAATATGGACCTGGCTTTTCCTCTAGTTTCACAAAGAAGAACTGAAAATAAGAATTAAATAACCAAATAATAAGAATCAAACAAGGATTTTGGGTAGAACTGTAGAGCTGAAAGGGTCCCCAAGGGTCACTTAGTCCTTTGGGTGACTGATTGTTACCACTGCAACTGCTCAAAAAGGTATGCTTGTAGACCTTAAAGATCTCTCTCTCTCTCTCTCTCTCTCTCACACACACACACACACACACTTTGTACACAACTCAAAGGCACAAGTGGGTGATTCCTTTATTAGACCACTAACAAATTAAAACTATTATCTAGCTTTCGAATCTGCACAGGTCTCCATGAAGCTAAACACTGCTGTGGGTGGTACAGAAAGACTTTAAAAGTTCAAAAAATCATGGGCAGGCTTCTTAATTAAAATCAAAGATCAAGATGGGGGCTGAAGATGTTAGACAATATGCCTGCCAGTCACTCTGCAACCTCCCCACATCGCCAAGTAAAAGTTTTACACAAAGTACGGGTTTTATTTGGACTGGGGTTACCAAAACAAAGAACCTTTTTTTAAACTTTTACTCATTCTTTGGGTCTTATTTATTTAATTTATATATTCAAAATATTTTTATCTTGCCTTTCTCTTTAAAAGGATGCAAAGTGGTCTACATCATTAAAAAGGGCAATATTTAGAGTTCTGAGAATTTTCTGATGTTTGTTACTGTATATATGGATGTAAAAAATAACAGCTGGGCTCTAATACACAGTCAAATCTAGAATGGAAACTATACAGTATGATTAACTTTGGAGTACACAACTAACTTGTGGAATTCACTACAAAGTGGTGGTGACTAAGAATAAATGTTAGAAACGATTTAGACAAGTTCATGGAGAATCAGTGTAACCCACAGCTAGCAGCTGTGACAGCTAAATGGAATTTTTGTGCTCAGTACATACCTTCAAGATACAGATGGATGGATGGATGGATGGATGGATGGATGGATGGATGGATGGATGGATGGATGGATGGATGGAAGGAAGGATGGAAGGAAGGAAGGAAGGAAGGAAGGAAGGGGTTGCTTGCATCCATACTCTGCTTAGGCTTCCTGAGGCATCTGTTGCCGATACCGTGGTAACAGAATGCTAGACTAAGTAAAGTGACTCATCCTAGAAACTGCTTTTCTTAGAAAAGATTTGGAAATAAAAAGGGAGGTGGGTGTAATGTTTGTTACTGTGTCACTGGTTGAATCGTACATTATTTCATCATCCTGCCAACTTTTCTCTTCCTATCCCCTCTTCCTGCTCCTTGGCCACACCAACTGATTCCCAGCTCCCCTCCTCTACCACCTAATTATCTTCTTAAGTTGATTTAATATGGGGGGGGGGAATAAATTCAAAACGCCCATGTCCATTGAATTTGCATTGTTTGGGCCAACTAGAAGATCTGGATTGTTTTCTGGTGGTGAGCTGACATGGCACTCTTCCAGAAATATACGTATAATTGGCTGTATCAAACTAAAAGTGAAAAAAGAAAAATCTCACTATCAAGAACCACACAGTATTTCCTCACCCCCCACCATCAAAGTTCTGCTTGCTGAAAAGTATTTTTTAACAAGCAGTGATAGCTCTCATGAGTTCAAAGACATATAGGAATGCTCCTCTCACCAGACTACCAGAAAAAAGTTTAAGAGAAATGTGATTAATCTATTACAGCTCCTCTCAATTGGCCATGGCTATGTCGGTACCTGATTTTAAGGGATACATTTCTGGCCATTCTAGTTTATCCTCTTGCAGCTGTACCTAGGATTCTATATCCAGGACAGATGACAATGAAATACTGCACTTCAGTTCATCCATCCTGACACCATTTTAAGGACTTCCTTCCCTCTCACCAAGTAAAATCAATACCATGTTTGAGCCAAAACATTTACAGCTTTATTAAGATGTCTTGCTTGTTCTGAAAAGCTGTGGTAGCAAATTGACTCAGCTCAGTTAAACTGAGGGAGCTGGATAAAGAGGGCCCATCGATAAGGCTGTTATAAAAATACTCTGCAGGAGACCAGATAGCTGGAACAAACAGTCTGAGATGTGTCAATATCTTTATTCAATATCAATATTTTTCCTCTCTAAGAATGAAAACAAAATATCCAATGAGATCACTGCTTATCAAATAGACCCCATGCTAAAGTATTACATAAATGCTTCTTTCCTGGTCGTCTACTGAAATATTTTTTTCCATGACACATTCAGCATGGCTTACTGTAATTCCTCATACAATCCCACTAGAAAGGCACATGAAATACAATCAGCAGAAAAAGAGGTTACTTACCTGTAACCATAGTTCTTTGAGTGGTTCTCTGTGCATGCACACATATGGGTATTGAGTTTGGAACTGAGGAAGATGGTGGGTGGGAGGAGCATATGCCTCATGGAGGATCACACCATAAAATTGTTACTTTTAGCTCTAGAATCTTCCGAGAGAGTCAGCGCAGGCGCAGACAATACCCATATGTGTGAATTTACAGAGGACCACTCAAAGGACTATGGTTACAGGTAAGTAACTTCTTTTTCTTTTTCGTGTCCTCTGTGAATGCACACATATGGATGACTAGCAAGCTGCACTTACCGGTTGGTGGGTCGTCATGGTAAGAAGGATGACAGGACAGCTCTGCCAAATGCAGCATCTTGGCATGCTCTGACGTCCAGCCGGTAGTGTTTGACAAACGTCGACGGCGTGGACCAAGTGGCAGCACGACAGATGTCAGGAACCTCGGTGCCACATTGAAAGGCAGTAGAAGTGGACAGCACCCTGGTGGAATGAGCTGTCAAAGAGTCCGGAGGGGACTTGCCCGCCAAGGTGTAGGCAAGGGAAATAGTTTGTACAATCCAGCGTGCTATTGACTGAGAGGAAGCTGGGGCCCCTTTATTTGGGCCATGGAAGCAAAGAAAGAGTTTATTAGACTTTCTGAAAACTTTTGTTCTTTCGACGTAGAAAGCCAGGGGATGTCTGACATCCGAGATTGTGGAGCATACGCTCGAGGGGCGACGAAGGAGAGCTGAAGAAGCAAGGTAGTATGATGTGTTGGTTGAGGTGGAAGTAGGAGACCACCTTTGGAAGGAAGGAAACATCAAAATAAAGAGTCACTTTATCGGGGTGGACCTGGATAAAGGGAGGATCTGCTCGAAGGGCAGCGAGTTCACTGGCTCACTTGGCTGATGTAATTGCCACAAGGAAAGCCGATTTGTTAGGAATTTGAAGTCAATAGATGCCATGGGCTTGAACGGGGGTCACATCAAGGCATTGAGGACGAGTTGTAGTGACCACTGAGGGGTGATATGTTGTTGAGGGGGGTGAATGTTATTGAGCCCCTTGAGAAACCTTTTTGACAGTTGGGTGAGAAAATAACTTGGAAGAAGAGGAATCGTCAGGTTGGTGAGCCATGATTGCTCATAGATAGACCTTCAACGTGGACTGGGAGAAGCCGAAGCCGAAGAGATGGAGGAGATACGCGAGGAGAGTCTCCAAGGAGACAGGTATGGCAGGTAAGTTATTGTCCTGGGTGTACTTTAAGAAGGACTTCCATTTGTTCTCGTACAGGAGGGTCGTGGAAGGTTTACGGGCCCGAAGGAGGACGTGCATGACGTCGGGAGTATCCTCCATGCCGCGAGGCTGAGAGAGGTGACGTCTGGGTGAAGAACGAGGCCGTGGTCGAGTGACAGGAGATCCGGGCGGAGAGGAAGGAGGAGCATATCTGACGACATCGAGACCAGGTGAGTGAACCACAGCTGACGAGGCCAGAACGGGGCTATGATGATCGCGTTGGCCCTGTCTTGTCGGATGCGAACGATTACCCTCTGGATGAGAGGCAGAGGGGGAAATATGTAGAGAAGATCTCAGGACCAGTCCATTAGGAACAAATCCCCCAGAGAGTTGCTGTTCTGCCCCGCTGTGGAACAGAACCAGAGAAGATCTCGGGACCAGTCCATTAGGAACACATCCCCCAGAGAATTGCTGTTCTGCCCCGCTCTGGAACAGAACCGGGGTCATTTCTTGTTGGCATCGGTTGCAAAGAGGTCTATTGAAGGAGTACCCCACCGTCGGTGTAGCTGGCGAAACACGACATCGTTCAGGGACCACTCATGCGTCCTGGCGGGTAAGCGACTCAGTCGGTCTGCCGGGGTGTTGTCGTCCGTGGAAATATGGACAGCAATGGGGAAAACATGGTGGGAGTAGCACCATTCCCAGAGGGTAACAGCTAGATAGAGCAGAGAGGGGGAGTGGGTGCCCCCTTGCTTGTTGACGTAGAAGAGTGTGGTGGTGTTGTCCGTCGCTAGCTGCACCACTTGATTCTTGATGAGGGGAAGAAAGGCATGGAATGCTTTGATGATTGCCAATAGTTCTAGGTGGTTTATGTGCAGAGACCGCTCTCGGCTGGACCAAAGTCCGTAAACTGTGTGTTGAAGGCAATGGGCACCCCACCCTGTGGGGCTGGCGTCGGTAGTGACCTGTATGGAAGGTCTTAGAGGCAAGAAAGGTCTGCCGACCAGCAGGTTGTGTGAGTGGAACCACCAGTCCAGTTGAGCGACTAGTGCCGGTGTAACTGGTAACAGAGCCGATGGGGGGTCTGAGGAGGGGTCAAAGAGGGAAAGGAACCACGCCTATAGGGGTCTCACTTTGAGCATGGCGTGCTGTACAACAGCTGTTGTCGATGCCATAAGTCCCAGGAGGTGCTGGGTGTGATGTGCCGAGACATAGTGGCGCGACTGAAAGGGGCGGATGGCTTTTCAGATTTTCTCAATCCTGTCCAGGGGCAGAAATGCCCTTGCTTGAAGGGAGTCCTCCTTCATGCCTATGAACATGGCCGTCTGTCGCAGGGTAAAATATGGCCTTTTGGATTTTCTCGATCCTGTCCATGGGCAGAAATTCCCTTGCCCGAATGGAGTCCACGTCCATGCCTATGAACTTGGCAGTCTGTCGTGGGGTGAGATGCGACTTATCATGATTGACCTTGAGGCTGAGGTCGTGCAGAGTATGGAGAGTTATGTCTCGAGCTGTTATGGCGTCGTGGTACGATGCCGCTACTATCAACCAGTCGTCAATGTAGGGATAGATGTTTACTCCCTGTAGCCGAAGGAAGGCGGCTACTGGCGCCATGCACTTTGTGAAAGTCCGTGGGGCAGTGGAGAGCCCGAACGGGAGGGCACAGAATTGGAAGGCGGTGCCGTTGAAGTGGAACTGGAGGAATTTTTGATGATCCGGGTGGTTGGATATGTGAAAGTAGGTGTCCTGGAGGTCGATGATTATGAACCAGTCTCCCTGAGAAAGCAAAGGGATAATAGAGTCCAGGGTGAGCATGCGAAACTTGCGAGGGGATATGAAACGGTTGAGGTGAGTGAGATCAAGGAGGGGGCGGAGGCCTCCATCTTTCTTAGGGACAGTGAAGTACTTCGAATAGAAGCCGTTAAAAGACTCTGAGGCGGGGACTGGTGTAATGGCATGTTTTTGGAGAAGATTAGTGACTTCGCCTTGCAACGCAGAAGAATAGGGAGTGTACCGAATGAGTCCCAAGGGAGGTAGCTCAGAGAACTCTATAAGGTACCCAGAGAATATGATGGATAGAACCCATTTATCAGAAGTGATGGATTGCCAACGATGGAAGAATGGGGCCAACCTGGTCGAGTTCACTGGGCAGGAAGGAACGTTGTAAAAGGGAAGTATAGATACGTGTCAGTATTGCTT